GATGTTTTGCCGCGATAGCATTATGCGTATAATAACTTATTTTAATGCTATTTTAAATTGTCAGTTTGCCAAAAGTCCTACATATTTAGTGTAGTATTGTGGAGAATGTAATTATAAAACATGTTGTGAGAACAGTTTATTTCATAACACCTGTTAATTTCTATTAATTATAATCATATGTTTATTTGTTATTCTATGTTTGTAAAAAGGTAAATAAAGTGAGTTGAGTTTGAGTTATGACATAAAACAGTGCATCCACTTAATTCTTAGTAAAATAGTACATGGTGGCAGCGGTCTAGAGCTATGCCTCAGAAGAGAAATCCAAGAAGGAAACAATCTGACTATGAAGATAATGAAAATGAACAAGAACAAAATGAAAGAAGCATAGAAAATGTATACAACAACTCAACTAAGAAGTCAATCATTGTATCAAACACTCATTCAGTTATTCAACCTCCAGCTAGTTTCTCCTTTGTACCAGCAGATTGGCCAAGATGGAAAACACGATTTCAAAGATATCGTTCAGCATCTGGGTTATCTGAAGAGTCTGAGAACAAACAAATCAACACTCTGATATACACATTAGGTGAGAAAGCTGATGATATTTTTGCATCTTTCAATTTAGCAACCGAATCAACGCTAACATTTGAAGAAGCCTTAGATTTATTTGACAAACATTTTATTCCACGTAGGAACTTAATTTTCGAAAGAGCAAAGTTTTTGAAGAGACAACAAAAAATTAACGAAACAGTTGAAGAGTTTATAGTTAGTCTCCATTCCTTGGCTAGGACCTGTGACTGGGGTTCACTTAATGATGAAATGGTGTTGATGGTACTAATACTGGGTTTAAATGATGAGAAACTTAGCGATCGCTTGTTGCTAGATCCCGAGATGAATTTAGACAAGGCCATTACAGTAATACGACATGCAGATAACGTAAAGAAAGAGAAGACAGATTTATGTGATGAGAAAAGAGTTCAAATTGAAGCAACTACGTCATCGAGTTCAAACCAAAATCAAGGAGATAGGTTTCGTCAAAAGAAACGAGAATACCCAGTACAATGCATCTGGTGTGGTTATAAACCGTCCCATCCAAGAAGCACATGTCCAGCAAAAAGCGCAACATGTAACTTATGCAAAAAGATTGGTCACTTTTCGAAGGTCTGCAGATCTAAAGAAGCACAGGAAGTAACTGACGAAAATGAAGTAAGTGAACTTGGACCTTCAAATAATAAAGTATTCATAGGTACACTTGGGGATGGGTCGAAATGTAAGCCCTGGAAACTAGAATTAGTATTTGAGGGAAAACCACAATCATTTAAAATTGATTCAGGGGCAGATGTAACAGTAATTCCCCCTGGCATAGTTGATCCAAGTAGGATCCAGCCTACTCTAGTTGAGTTATATGGGGCTGGTAGAACAAAATTAGAAACTGTAGGTTGTGTTAGAGCTAATATCCAATACAGAGATGTTAAAATAAATCACATGGTATATGTCGTGAAGGGACTCATAACACCCTTGCTTGGTCGTCCAGCAATACAGGACTTGAAAATTTTAACTTTTGTTAATTCAGTTGCAGAGGTAGACAGTGACTTTTTTACCGAATACCATGAAATGTTTAGTGGTCTGGGCGTCATTCCTGATCCCTACACAATAGCACTTAAGGATGGCGCAAAGCCATATGCAATAACCACTCCTAGGACAGTACCTTTACCCCTAATGTGTCGAGTAAAAAAAGAACTAGAAAGTATGGTACAAAATAATGTAATCACACCAGTTGAGCATGCTACTGAATGGTGCTCAGCAATGGTAGTAGTGCCTAAATCTAATGGAGATGTCCGCATATGTGTTGACTTAACAAAGTTGAATGAATCTATCCAGCGGTCTTATCATCCGATTCCCAAAATTGAAACGTCTCTCAGCTCAATCTCAGGAGCAAAATGGTTTTCAAAACTTGATGCAAACAGTGGTTTTTGGCAAGTCCCCTTAAATGCAAAATCCCAGGATCTAACTACTTTCCTTACCCCTTTTGGACGTTTTAAATTTCTCAAACTTCCATTTGGAATCACATCAGCACCTGAACATTTTCAGAAATGCATGAACAAAATCTTAGACAACCAGTCAAATGTCGCCGTCCATATGGACGATATTCTGATTTGGGGCAAAACGAAAGAAGAACATGATACAGTTGTTCGGCAAGTACTTGAAAAACTTAAAAATGTAGGAATGACACTTAACAAAGACAAAACTGAGTTTGGGAAGTCAAGTATTAAATTCCTCGGGCATTTCCTCTCGTCCGATGGAATTTCTGTTGATAAGGAAAAGGTTTCCGCCATTCTCAAAATGGACTGCCCAAAAAACGTAAAAGAACTTCAAAGGTTTAATGGGATGGTAAACTTTCTTGGTAAGTTTATTCCTGAAAAAGCAAAGATTTTGGCCCCAATGAATTCATTACTTCAAGCTAACGTTCCATGGATATGGGGTCCAGAGCAGGCAAAGGCATTTGATGAAATAAAACTCATTTTGACCAACTCTCCTTGCCTAGCCATTTACGATGTAAATCGGGAAACAATTATCTCCTGTGATGCCTCGCTTCAAGGGCTAGGATCAACTCTTTCTCAAGTTCAAGATGATGGTTCCATACGACCAGTATCATTTGCATCCCGAAGCCTTCTTCCTTCTGAAAAAAACTATGCAAACATCGAGAGGGAGGCTACAGCTGTTGCTTGGGCATGTGAAAAGTTTCAAGAATTTATTATTGGCAAGAGAATAACAATACAAACAGATCACAAACCACTACTTCAAATTTTGAAATCCAAACATCTTGATGAATTGTCTCCAAGAATTCAAAGAATTCGATTGCGTCTCATGAGATATGATTTTTCAATTACCTATATTCCTGGAAAGCAGCTTCTAGTTCCTGATGCTCTTTCAAGAGCACCTCTCCCATTTTCAGGTACTGATGACCGTGAGTTAGAAGAAGAAACTCAAGCGTTTGTTCAAATGGTTTTGTCGTCCATTGATATAAACGACTGCATAGTTGCTAAAGTATTGGAGGAACAAAATAAAGATCCGACTTTACGTGAACTAAAAAAAATAATCATCCAAGGTTGGCCTTCTAAGACATCATTACGAGATGACCTAAAACCGTATAATTCAGTTAAGGATGAGCTAAGTGTTGATAATGAGATGATACTACGAGGTTCAAGACTTGTAATTCCACCAGCTCTTCAGTCTTGGGCACTTCAAAGAGTACATGAAGGTCATTTTGGAATTACCAAGTGTCGTTTACGTGCAAAAGAGTCAGTCTGGTGGCCAGGAATTTCTTCAGCCATTGAAAGTATGGTGAAATCATGCCCTACTTGTATTAAACATTCAAGGAACAGTCATGAACCATTGCTTCCCACACCATTCCCTGACAGACCATGGAAAACACTTGCAATGGATTTATTCAAACTTGAAGGCGTTTGGTTTTTGACTGTGACAGATTATTACTCCAGATATTTTGAAATAGCTGAATTAGAATCATTAACATCACGAGAAGTAATAATGAGATGCAAAGCCTTTTTCTGTCGACATGGCATTCCAGAAGAAATTAGGTCTGACTGTGGGTCTCAATTTCAAGTCCTTGAACATTCAGATTTCAAGACATTTTCCAAAGTTTATGGCTTCAAGCATATAACAAGTAGCCCAAAATTTTCCCAAAGCAATGGAGAGGCCGAAGCCGCAGTGAAAATCGCCAAAATGATTCTAAAGAAAAATGTGGAAGACCCTTATTTAGCACTTCTAGCCTATCGAACGACACCCCTCTGGAATGGGTACAGTCCCTCTCAGCTTCTCATGAACAGGCGATTACGGAGCACATTGCCTCAGACAGGACATTTGCTTTGTGGAAAACCAGATCTAAAGGATCTTAAGGGGAGAGAAGAAACATATCGTGAGAAGTATAAACACAACTATGATAGAAGGCACAAAGTGCAAACTCTCAATCCTCTTCATATAGGAGACCCAGTTTGGATTGTGGACCTTAGAAGACATGGCAAAATTGTGAAAATCCTGGACAGCCCTCGTTCATATATTGTTGAAACTGATAAGAGGAACGTGAGAAGAAATCGATTCCACCTCAAACTTGCCCCTTATTTAAGAGAGGAAAACAGTGAACAACATTTGTCTGAGAATGCACATCAAACAGAACCATACAACCGTCCAAAGAGAAATATACACAAACCAAGCTGGTTGAAGAACTTTCAAACTTAAAAGGGAGGATGTTGTGAGAACAGTTTATTTCATAACACCTGTTAATTTCTATTAATTATAATCATATGTTTATTTGTTATTCTATGTTTGTAAAAAGGTAAATAAAGTGAGTTGAGTTTGAGTTATGACATAAAACAGTGCATCCACTTAATTCTTAGTAAAATAGTACATAAAACACATGAATCGTCACATAGCTTTTCGCGGAGGTTCTATTGATCTAAATATCTATTTTTTATATTCTTGAAAAGGGTATCTACTGTTTAAGGCGGGTTCGAAACAACCTAGTCACAACAACACGGACCATTGCATAAGTTTTCTGGTAAAACCAATGCAGAGGAAGCTACCCTCCATGCCCATTCTTTACCATCGATGTATTATATCACAGCTTGAGATGATCAAACATCTTCATCATAATATTTTTTACATTGCAAATTCCAAATGGACCAAAACCCAGATAAAGGCTTTCGAATCCAAGGACCCTACTAGATGTTTTTTAACCTTTGTAGAACTTGTTAAGACAATGACATCATTGACAACACATCAGTGTTCAGTGGTACTCTTACTAGTTTGCAGTTTGGAAAACCACAGACCGACTTATACTCAGGAGTCCATCTCCAGTTAAAGTTCAACTTGAAAAATCATGTTTTATCGGTTCAAGACGAAGATTCGACAGTTTGACCTACCATCTAGTGTGCTAAAGGTTTCTGAAGCTTCTCTAAAGTAACTGAATGTCAAAGACTCACCCTGACTCGTGCTTCCGTCAAGTTGGTCCACATCGCTATCTCCTCCCTGGTGCTCATGTCGGGATATCTGTTCCTAGCGAAGGTCGCCTCCAGCTCCTGTAGTTGCTGTGACGTGAAGTGCGTCCTCTGCCGTCGCTGTCTCTTGTTGTTCTTGTTGTTTTTCTGGTCTTTTGATCCGTCGTCGGCGTCCACCCCTTCCGTCTTGATCCCTCCCAGAGGCTCTACTGATAGCACTCGTCCTGGAGAACAAGAAATTAATTTGAGAACTATGAGTCTAATGTAGGATTTCATTCAAGTTCTTCACCATGTTCTATTTGCATAACATACACTAGTAACATTGGCCTTTCTTTGCTACCAGTGGAATAAATACATTATGTTCTGCTTGTGTTGAAATTAAATACTGAAGGTTTCACCTATATTCTAACCAATATAAGTTGGGTTTTACGACCAAATGAAAAAAAAAACACTTGAAGGATCATCTTAAGAAGTGTGGCAGTAGTAGAAGTCTATGTCCCTGTTAGTTTTTTCTGTGATACTGAATTTTGATTTATACGATTGTATAGTTCACAATAATTTATCATTTTAGTTTGGCTCGATGCAAAGTTAAAGGTTGGTGTATTTGATAGAAATATTTTACAGCATACTCTGCAGGTAGCTAAATTTGTCTATGGGTTTAAATACTAAAGTTGGCTTCTGGCAACGAGTTTAGCTTGATAATGGGGTGGCAACCGCATAGCAGTATTTCTATAGGTGCAAAATAGCTATACTTAACTACTGACTCCGCTTCCAACTAAGTTACTCTTGAATTAATTAAATTGATTGAATAAATACTACACTAAGTGAATACTTTGTTCCGATTGAAAAAAAAAACTAGGAACCAACCCAATTTAGACTGTGATTAAGACGTATAATTTTTGTTTCAACAAATTCAGATAACCCATCTCAGAGATATTTAAGCTCAAACTCGAGTGCACATATTTATTTCCCCGACAGTAAATAAACGCCTCTTTCTGATTGGGAAAATAAGAACCGACCAATTCAGACTGTGATTACCACGTATCGTATTTAAGAGAAGAAAAATAAACAAAGGCACACCTCGAAACCCACTCTGCGATACACTTCTTGTCAGGGTTGATTGATAAGAAAGCAACAATTATTGCACAGGGATCTTGGGCTGATCCTCCTAAGCCCCGACCGGCAACGAAATTAGATGAAGAAGCAATTTCACCAAAAGAATATGTAAATTAAACAAATTAGGGGAGCTGCTTTGAATGTGGTTCAGCGCCTTAATGTAATGAAATTGCCAGCGGCAAAGTCGCCTTTCCGGCGCAAAGCCTTTTAAATTTAAGACTTAACCGAACATTTTGGGGAAAACGTCTCAAGATAAAGTTGTAAACACTGTCTTTGAAAATAAAAATAGAATAAAATAGTATTTATAAACTAAAAATTCATTATGTATTCTATTTTGGATTTATCTAGTTTTTGGGTCGTTATAAGCTTTAACCCGCATTAGAAGAGAAAAATGATTGTTCCCGGTGTGTACTATATTTTGAAATGTTTTCTACTTTTTTGTGGTTTGGATAATTGTGGCAATTTTCTAAAATGTAAATTTTTGTACATTAATTGAATGGTCAAATGATCGGATTATTTAAGGAGAGATTGTCATTGTTTACTTAGAATTTGATTATACAATTCACATACTCGTTTTTTACTACAAATTATCTATTTTAACAGAATAAACTTGAAACATCGATGTACTGTATTCTTAAAATATTTATTATTATGACAAACAAACCGATATAATAACAGTCAAAATCGAAAGTCAATTTCAACGTTATAACAGGTTTTGAATGTTCATAAAATTTTTTGTAAAAACATTTTAATGGATAAAAGTATTTGATTTATTAGGTATCTTCACCAACCGAAGAAGATATAAGAATAAAATATTATTATTAATTAATCAGATATTCTACTAAAAATTAACCTATAGGTTAGAACTGTTGGTTGCGTAACCAAAACCAGGACCACCTGAAAGTATTCCAGTAATTTAATTTATTCTTTTGTAATTAACTCGACTGGTTATCACAAGTTTGCCAGTTCGATCCTGTCATTAACCTATTCATGGTTTGAATCTGGTCCTAGCTTTCCTACATTGTTGGGTTTTTAATTAATGGTTCTGGCCAAAGAAACTACTTGCCTTAGTGGACGAGAAAAATCAAAACTACACCAAGAATAGACCAAGAACTACTGGTAACTGGGGTGTCATTAGACCGTTCTGGTTAAAAAAACTACTAGTTTTAGTAACAATGCTACACAGGTCTTCTCACTCCATTCCAAATATATTAAAAAATAATCTACACACAATTATCATTCCAAAATTGTGTATTTAAAAAGTTCGAGCTAGGAGATACAGGGCAGACAACTTGTATGAAACAAGAAATGTTCTTCAACTTAATCACTTTCACATCCCGCCTCTACAGTCTTCACCAAACACTGTACAGAAATACCAACATACGTCATCTTCTCTGTCGGATTGTTGACGGATTTAAATTCGTCAGGATTATCTCTGTTGGAAATAGTGTGTGGAGTGAGGATACCGTTATAGGGCTGGTCGCTACCGTCTCGTCAAACACGGCTCTCTATCAGTTATCAAACAGTAATTACAGATGTCAAAGGAACCGCTGACGTTGAGGGATGAGGCGGCGGCTTAGACACCCTTATCAGCTGATAACACAGGGTCATTGTCGACTAACGGTACTGCCAGGTGGAGCCGAGAAACATGCAGCCTTCATGTTCCATGATCTACGGATTCAAGTTTTCTTGCTGGTAAAACTATGCAGGGATTTGGTGAACCAGGAGAATGATGATTTGGTTATTGAAAGTAATTATGATGAAGGGAAACTATTCAATTGTCTTGTCAGTATAGAAAGTTTCGGTGTAGAAAATCCTTAAAGATGTGCAATTATACATGGCCAAATAATACTCTATGAGGCTGAATAAGACTCATTTCTGACAACACCTTCATGGTGCATGTATTATCTAGGAAATTGGTGATTTTACCTTTTAGCGAATTTCCCTATAGGGAAGTAGCTATTACCGTAGGTCTCATGGTAAGACTTAGGCCCGGGACCGATTTACTTTTTCATTTTAATGTCCCCAGAGGCCAAAAACACCATTCGTTCAAATTTTTATATATGTATATATATATATATAGGTATATATATATATATATAGATTTATATATATATATATGTGTCCGTGAACACGATAACTTGAGTAATTTTTATCCGATTTTGATGAAATTTGGTTTGAAGGTGTAAGGCGGGATAAACTTGAATGAGTTCGCGATCCAGCATGATCGGACCATGGGAACAGGGTTTTATGGGGGGTTTTATGGGGTAAAAATTGGTTTTTCTCACTTTTTACCCTCAAAACACAAAATTTCCCAATTTTTCTCTAAACCTTCTTAAAGAGCTTAAAAAAACAAACAATTCAGTATATCAAAGTGTTTTTGTACGGTTATTGGTTACGGATAAAACTAAAAAAATTGTAAATTTAAAATTCCCATGTTATTCTTATGGAGAATATTGTAAAATGTTGTAGTTTGCTTGTTTATGGATATATTTTGATCAAACTTGGCAAATTTATTTATTTTATAGTAAGCTATCAATATTTTACTAAAAACACACTACTTTATTAGTTTCCTTGTAGCAGCAAACCTAGGTACTCGTTAAACCTAATGTTATTTAAATAGATCAATTGAAAATCAATTCGGCCAAATGGAAATTCGCTTAGACGGCAGGTTTGCTGCGGCGGGGGTATTTGATTTTAAAGTTCGTGATGTGACTAGTTTAGTGCGTCTATGTTTGGTTGTAACTTGTAAGTCTACTCGTTGTGTTTTCTCTTCAGTTATCAAGGGGGAGGGCTCAGTTTATTATAATGTAATTTTGATGGGGGAGGGGGTAGTAAGGCCTCAAATATTGTTCAGGCTCCCTTCCTTTTTTTAGTAGCAAAACTTTAGTTAGGTTTTGTTGGGTTTCAAAATTGAACTTGAATTTGGGTTATATATTTTTAAAAGACTACGGTCAGTTTTTTGACAACGTTAAACGACGGTTTACCGATTTCACAGTACGTTGTTTTTTAATTACCCTTTAATGTTTTAGAAGAACCATCTTATTAAGTTCTTTTGAATTTGAGAAGACAGGAGGTTCAGAAGAGCTGCAGATCGTCAGTTTTTGCCGGTTCGGCAGGAGTCAGATAAGGCAGCAGTTTATGGCGGAGTATCTAATCTTTCCTGTCTGGTGGGACATATTTACGACTCTGTGTTTGTGGGGCAAATACAATCCCAAAACTAGCATAACAGAACGAGTGAGCTCTGGACCACTAGCTGCCGAGTGTAGAGCTGCTCTAGCGAAATTTTGAATACTTACCTGTTAAATCCTGGGCGAGACTTGAATGAAAATACAAGTATCTAGCTGAATTTTTTTTAGCAATGATTTGTCTATCTAGTTGAAACGCCAATTAAACAAGACAAACGCTTTCATAGAAAAATGGTGTAAGCCCCTTTAAATTCGTGTATCCAAAAATTTATATTGTATGGGGGTTCGAAATCGTCACTCTCATACCGAAGTTCGAGACACTAACGACTAGAAACATATCAAAACTCTCGTGACATGCTATGTGATCGAGTGAAGAACAAAACCTTGATGTTTCGTCCGAATTACCTTGCCGATCACAAAGAAATCACCACAAGTAAAACCAATGCTGCAGGTATAGTAAACCTTCAGTGTACGAAACTTCCAGTAGAAGATTATGGCCTATACTAAGTTTAAAGGGTTGATTGGGGTGCGGCCCTAGTAACCAAGGGAGTAAAACATCACTCAACATCAGGGAATAAACGTTCAGTGTACGAAACTTCCAGCATTGACTATGAATCCTTAAAAAGTCAATGCTTCCAGTAGAAGATTATGGCATATACTAAGTTTAAAGGGTTGATTGGGGTGCGGCCCTAGTTACCAAGGGAGTAAAACATCACTCAACATCAGGGAATAAACCTTCAATATACGAAACTTCCAGTAGAAGATTCTGGCGTAAACTATTGAGTTTGGAGGGTCGATTGTTGACGCAGATCTTATAACTAAGGGAGTTAAACATCACTCAAAGGGAAAAACCTTAAGGACGCGAATCTTTTTGGAATGCCCATCAAGACCCCTTTCATACCAGGATCGTAATTCTATGTTTTTAGCATTGGTTGTTCCACGTACCCTTTCTGTCCCTGTTGCGACTTCGGGCACTGCTGAAGCTGAGCTGGGAATGATCCATGGTCATGTGGTGCGAGTTGTCCCTGAAGTCCCCCGTCTCCGCCCACACTGCAAGTCAAAAATCCAAACTTGCAATGCAAATTTTACAGGGCCACATACAGAAATGTCTCGGCACAGCGAGTGTGTTGTTTGTCTTTTCAAAGAAATAGTTTTGTGAGTGAATCTTCAGCATAAAAAAATATGTTTATAGTCCATCAATTTGTTGTTTCTCTATAGGTTTTAAGAGAAATGGAACAAACGATTATTATTTTGTGGTAAAGTATTTGTAGTGACAGTTAAAATTTTGTAAAGGATTTCCGAGAATTTCTTAGTTTTATAGTTTTTTTTTTTTTTTTTTTAATTAGGTAGGGTAGTTTTCAGCAGGTTCTCAAAATGACTTTTATTTGTTCAAGGTTCTGCTACTCAGAGAGCTTTCATCTTTACAACTTAACCATACAAATTTCAGTGCGATTATTTATAATTATACGACGATTTCAGTAGTTCATACTCCTGTTTTTTATTTTGGGGGTTATTCGTGGGGAGTGGCATTTAGCATGGTTGTGGATGTACAAGATACATGCACTTTGTAAATTTAAGACGGGATATCAACGTTGGAAATGTTGGCGTTAAGCCAAATATGAGTTAGGAGTAGGCTGTAGAAGTGAGATAAGTCAAGGAGCTTAATCAATATCTTCAAAGGCTGGAATCAATTTATATATTCAGGATCATTGATTGAAACACCTCAAGGTTGGGTCCAGTTTCGAAGCACCAAAAAGCTCCTGACTTTTCTTATGATCGAACCTGCGACATTGCTTACTAGGCGAGCTTGTAATCTCTCAGAAACCCAAATAGTAGCTCGGTTACCTCCCGCTATCTCCGCGTCCCGCCACCTCCGTGTCCCGCCACCTCCGAATTTCAGAGTGACCCCTATAATCCTCGGTTAATACCTGCGTTAAGACTTTCCGTTCTTACCTAACCTAACCTAACCTAACCTAACCTAATCTAACCTAACCTAACCCAACCTAACCTAACCCATGGGTTAAATTGTCATTGAATCTCCCATCCACAGGGCTTCTCAGCCGTGGATGCAATGACAGCTACCAACGCAGGCAGTGACGGTATTATAAGAGTCACTCAAGAATTCGGAGGTGGCGGGACAGATTTGGGTTCGGAGGTGGCGGAACGCGGAGATAGCGGGAGCACACGCCCAAATAGTAGCTCAACTCATCATGTTAATCCCCAAAGTCCGATACCATTTTCACACGATCAAAGCACACATCAAAGTATTCCCAATTCGACATCTTTCAATTCAAGACAGTGTCTTAAGTCTTAGACCTAGGGGAGGTCTGGCCATATCATAATCACCAATCTGAGCCTGTATTAACAGAGTGACAGAAGGTGATCACGGACATATTGACAGCCAATACATCAGTGTGGGAGTAGCTACCCCTGTCCCGTGTAGAGGGGTAGCTACCCCACACCTGACACCACGCTCCCCAGGAAGTCCCCAGATTTATGTCGTCCGACAGTTTTTACATGTCTTAATGGCCTGAACATCTTTAACACTTCCCACACTAATAGAGCGTGTCGTCGAACAAATCATCGGTCGTAAATTTGAATCCAGTTGGACGATTTCAGTATGCTTGTTTTTATTTCGGGGTTATTTGTGGGGAGTGGCATTCACGGTTGGGATGTTGTTCAAGGTATACGCACTTTCCTAAACTTTTGGTGATCTTTAACTAATTTGAACGATAATATTACTTGCTAGAGTACTGAGACTTTGGTTGTAAATTGACCTCTCAGAATATGAATCAATTTATCGGTTATTTCGTTATTTTTAGTTAGGTTTGTGTATGTTAGTATGTTATTCATATTAAGAAGGTCTACGGTTTATCTTTCAACTATGTTCGATTGTAGATTAACTAGTTTCTTATCATAACAAAATATAGTGACCCCAGTTTGCGAAAATAACTAAATTATTTGTTGTGAGCTCATTGTGTTTGGTATTTTCTTGTTGTTTCGGTTACAATGTATTTTAACCTACAACTGAAGTTTTTAATTTATTCCTTGAGCAAGGAACGTCTAAATATTTTAGTTGTTTAAGCAACTTATCCTAGTTAATTCGCAGTTTAAACGATTTTACCAAACGAAACGATTTATCTTTACTGTATTTTGTAGCATACTCTTGTATTTATTGTCAAAAACTAAATCACGCACTTTAAGTTTCAAACAAACCCCACAATGAGAAAAATGTAGTTGGAATAATCGCACTCGAGCATAAACAGACATCAAAACAAGTTTCATATTTCACTATGATGAGAGTCTACTTACAACATCAAAAGTCAACATTGATGTGATTCAGCATTGACGTTGCAAGTGATATCGCATATGAGAGTGATATGGTTTATGATATCATTATGGCCATTGGTGAAACACGGATTCAAACTAAAGATAAAACGGTAAACTTGCTCGATTATCATGTATCAATTTACTTGGTTGATAGAGAATCTATACAGCATTCCATATTGTATAATATGTATTGAAGTAAGCATTTGCTCGGAATCTACGTTATAATAATCCCTTTCGTAAAGCCATCTCTTGTTTGCTGTTTTGGTGTTTTTTGTTGGGGAACCGTCCAAAACAAAAGGCTTCTTCAATATTCTTAGAATATATATTATAATATATTATTGGCCCACTAGCTAAGCACTGTTACACATACAATTTGTAAGCTTATTGAGATTTAGGCTGTTGTTGTAGTGGGAGCATTCTGACCCAATGGTTCGGTTCCGGTTATTTAATTCGGTGGCAAGGGTTCGGTTCCGCCAACAACAATGCTTTTTACCCATATGATTATGAATTGATCGGTCGTTCGCAAAGGCTAACAAATTAAATCGAATTTTTGTATTTATTTATTCTGATGAAAGGCTGATTCAATCAAAGAAAATATCGCAAACTTGACTAGACCTTCTTAGAGCGACTGACATTCGCTCAAATTTATAAGCACCTAAAACGTAGGACTTTCTCTGTGTTAGAAAACATCCTCCACTAAAATCCACACCTTCATCATTTGAATTATTAATTGGTCTTCTTGTAGTAAAATATATAGTGTAACACGATGGTAAACACAAATTAATCTGAATAACGAAATCATAATATTATCGCTCGGATGATTTTCTTCATCAAAGTCAGACTAAAAGGGAATAATGTAAAGCCGATTTTTCTAGTGGGGCCTTGCTCGGCTCCCGATTATTTTCAAACGCTAGGTATTAAATTACAACTTTAGCCCCAGAACATTCAATGAAAACGGCCGTTTTCGCTGCTGTTTGACGAACAAAATCGGGTGAATTTAATTTTACATTTACCAAAGCAAATTTTTTAAAAGTTTCTATTTTCTTCTTATTTTTAAGGACACGGTCATAGTTTATGTTGCGAAACACTGCAGCGAGCGGCGCGTGGCTGGATGTTTAGAACGGTTATCTATTGCAAATATCAACATCAACATCGCCTTGCGACCGCTCGTATCTTGGTATAATATTGTCTACGTACACGGGTACCGTCCGCTATCTCAGTCTACACACACTGTATATCACATGGGGAATGTGCCTAGGAGATTCCAGCCCCCGAATAACTTAACTGTCCGATAGAGGTGTAGGTGAATGTTAACATACAGTACTAATAAACATATTCATCTGTAAGTTTAGTACTTAAAATGGTTTACAATACCTGCATATAGTAATCCTTTGTTGCTGATTTAGGCAACTAGTTTCAGTTCTTGTTTTGAACCATCTTCAGGCCTCAAGGTGTCAAGTGATCACTTCATTCGAAGGTCGTTAACAGAGTTCTAGGTCTAGACTTTACCTCAGCCCGGTCACGATCGATTGTCAATGTCCCTTCGTGTTTTTCGTGTTTTTTGTAATGTGTGTCCGTTCCGTGTATCGTGTTTTGTATATGTTTTATTTATTGAACTCTGTTAACGACCTTCGAATGAAGTGATCACTTGACATCTTGAGGCCTGAAGATGGTTCAAAACAAGAGCCGAAACTAGTTGCCTAAATCACCAACAAAGATTTACTATATGCAGGTATTGTAAACCATTTTAAGTACTAATACAGTAATCCGGAGGCTAAACAACTATTCTAAAATGTAAGTTTAGATCTGTAGATGGTTTTTAGGTGTGTTTATGTCTGATGACATATACTGATCATGAGTGAGTTTTCGTCATTTTCTTCAATAGCATATAATTAGACTGCCTTACGGATGGAGACTATTTTAAGATGAGTTCAGAGTACGGTGTATGCAAAGAGCGTATGTTATTTATTGTTATTTACCCTGTTTTCCTTGTTTTAAATAATTTTAGCACTGTGACATTATAATCAAAGAGTAAAATGCAAATCGTAAATGTCATCAAAATAATCTAGCTCACTCAAACGTCACCAATATGAATAAGCTTCAGATTCTCTATTAAGATTAGATTCCTTATTCAAAGTCAATAATGAAATCTATAGGTGGATAGTTGTAGGTCCATGCTATTGGTTATTAGGATTAAAAATACCATGTTAAAAAATCAACGGTATTTGAATCTAAATATTATACAAGAGTTGTTAATTTAAACGAAAGAAGACAAAATATTTTATTTAGTTATATTTATTTGTAAACATTGTAGTTCAAAAAGTCTGACATTGGCCCACTTAAACCCTCTGGGGCGGAGCTCTTTTGACGGATCTACACAAAAACTTCAAAAAACCATCCTTGAATAATGATAAATAATCCCTGAAAGTTTCACTACAATCTGTTGAGCGGTTTCGGAGTCCTCAAGGTACATACATATATACTGTATATACATACATACATACACACATAGTTCCTCTTTTATAGATATAGATTTTTTATTGTGTATAGGGGTAAAAAAAATTAAATCTATAAGTATAAAAGAGGAAGTTTGTATATATCTATAAGTATAAAAGAGGAAGTTTGTATATATCTATAAGTATAAAAGAGGATGTTTGTATATATATACTAGCTGACCCGGCGAACTTCGTATCGCCTAAGTTATAGGTTTCCCCTAAGAC